CCCAGCCACTCACGGGTCGTTCACAAGCTGTCCCGCCCGCTGCACCGCCTCCCTCGCCCTCCCCACCACCTCCGCATTGCAGTCGTCCGCAACGTGCGCCAGGGCCGACATGCCGTCGGCCAGGGTCTCATCGTCCGAGGTGTCCGCAGTCACCCGGGCCACAGTGGGCAGCACCTCCAACTGCAGGGGGGTGCGCGGGTTCGGGGGGGTGGGAGTGGGAGGAGGTTGGGAGTGGGAGGAGGGGGTGGGAGGAGGGGGGGAGGAGGTAGGAGACGATGTGGGTTGCACAAACCTCCCTAAACCCCCCACTCACCAGCGTCTCCTTCCTTCGTGGTTTGAACCGTGTGACGTTGAGCAGCAGCCAGGTGTATTGTCTGAGGGGCTTCACCTCCCTCTCCTGAGCCACGGCCGCCAGCAGCGGGGGCAGCAGACCCGCCTCCAGGCACTTGTCACGGAGGACTGCGGGGAAGGAGACAGACAGACAGACAGATGGGTAGGGCAGATAGACAGACAGACAGATAGATGGACAGATGGGTTAGACAGAAGAGGCGGGAGGGGCGGAAGGGACGGGACGGGGTTAGGCAACGGGGGTTAAAGGGAGGCGGGAGCTATGGGAGCTGTCAATCGAAACCACCCAAGCCCCTATAGGGGTTATATCTCTATCTGCCTCCCCAGGAGGTGGAGGACAGGACCTGTTGCGCTTGTCACGGTGTCCCAGCAAGGCCCCACAGCACCCCCAATTCCGTTAATTCTGTTAAACTCCGTTACGTCCAAACCCGCAATGAGGTCCTCACGATCCGTTACTCGCATTACGGTTGGTCTCCGTTACTGTTTTCCCTTCATTTCCTTTCCACTATCTTTAACCTGCCCTAAACCCCTCACCCTCAACACACATACACACGCGTTGGGGGGCGGGTTCACCCGCGAAAACCCCTACCCCACCGTCCACCCCGCGAGTAAGCAAACCCAACCAGTGTACGGAAAGCATCTGCGTCGTGTCGTACACACCCACCTGCACCGTCACCCGCGACGTTGCCCAGCAGCCACGCCGCCTGCAGGGTGTAATGTTTTTAAAAGTTCACCAAACCGCCGAAACGATTCAACTAACCGTCAACTGACAGTGCTCAGCCTGATGGAGCCCAACAGAAAACCAACCAAATGCATTTTCCATTATTATTTTTAATCCATCATTTTTACAGACAAATAAAAATTGCATTTTTTGCCCTTCCCCACCCGCCCCCACCTGTTCCCTGAGATTGCTAGCATCCGCCGTGAGCATCTTCAATGCGGGCGACACTGCCCCCGCCTCAACCACTGCCGTACACTGAGCACTATTTCCACTAGCCACATTACACACCGCCCAGGCAGCCTCGTACTGTCAGGGGGTGTTCGTTTGGTAGTTGGGAAGGGGGCCAGTAGGAGTGTATGTGTGCGAGGGTGTGTGTTTTGGTGGAATGTGGAGGGAGCGTGTTGCGCCCAAATGTATGGATGGATTTGTATTTGTGTGCGTGTGCTTGACCTACACACGCACACGTACACACACGGAAAAGAAGCCACCAAGGTGAGGTAACCACAAATTAGATAACATGGTGGACAAGTAATGCAATAAGGGAATAAGGGAGAAAAGGATGCAAGTTGGAGGCGGCGGCGCTTACGTGCGTGAAGAGCTGTCCTCCGTCGCCAACTTTGTGTACGTATGCACGTATGTACGTGTGTGCATGTGCGTCATAAACAACTGAGATGCGAATAGGAAGTGTCGAGGATGGAGGTATGCGTGTGTGTATGTGTTTCAAAACAATGTGTAGGTGCGAGTAAGCAAGCAAGTATGTATGTATGTATTGTATGTATGTACGTGATGGCAGAAGTTGTATAGTACAGGGATGTTGGATGAAAGGAAGACTCGCACACCGTACACACCCCACCATACCCCTCCAAATTCACGCCTCCCCCACCAATACACACTCACAACTTTCCCCACCTCTTTACCTGCAGTTCGGGAATGTCACTGACTTCCATCATTGAGACGAGTCTAGGGAGGGCTCCCAGGTCCAACACCTCCTGGATGGGGGGTTTAGCCTCTTCGCGTGCGCGCGTGTGTGTGTGCGTGTGCGTGTGTGTATGGGCAAAAGGGGAGGGGGTTGGGAGGGGGTTTTAGTGGGAGGAGAGCGGCAGCGGCAGATCAGAGACAAAAACACATAGACACGCGTGCACATACACATGGATTCGGATAAGGCCCGAACACGAAGCGCCCAAGGTCCAGGAGAGAGGGCCAGGGGCCGGTGGGCGGCATGTGAAATCCGAGGGCAGTTGGGGGTGCGGATCCAGATAGATCGATGGATAGATCGATGGATAGATCGATAGATGGATGGATAGATGGATAGATGGATATGTAGGTAGGTGGGGAGAGAGAGAGAGAGAAAGGCCGGCGTTACGGTGTCACGGAAAGAAGGGAAACTGCTACAAAGACACAACTGCGAGAAGGGCGACGACAGCTCTATACGCCGCGGCAGTGGCAGTAGCGCCAGTAGCTGCTGTTGCTGCTGCAGGAGCGGCCAGGAGGCAGCAGCAGCACCGGCAACAGCTGCACTGTTTTTTCAAAACACAGTTATTAGTTTCTTGGGGCAAAAGGAATGGGCCATGTTAGCAAAGGGACACGTCATAAGCAAAGGGACCCAAAACCCAGGGAAATGGGCACGAAGCTGAGGATAATGGTGTGCGTGTGTGTGTGGTGGTGGTGGGGAGACGAATCACGAGCGAGTGGAGCTGTGTGGGGGGGAAAGGGATGTCACCATCCAGCACGGCGTCTACCCCAATCTCCCCCGTTCTCGACTTACAGCTCCCTAGGGGCACTCCCACCTAGTGGGTCGCCCCTAGGGAATCAAGCGAACACACGTGCAGCACCAAACCCCTTACCCCCAGAGCATTTGTGATCCGTTTCAACCCCCAACGTGTCTTCCATATTCCATCGCGATTTGGGCCCCCTGCGATTTATCCCGCTGCAATTCGGGTTCCGTCCCTTCGCTGCAGGAGTATTTCTCCGTTACCTTTGCTTAGAGCCTTGCGTATCGCTTGAGCAGCTGGAAGCCACTGTTGCTTGTCGTTCGCTTTGATTGCTGTCACAGCTTCCTTTAAATTATCGGGTGAGAACCGACGGGGCCCTGCGGCGTGTGATTGAATGATTGGCCGGCGCGGCATGCACAACGTGTGCTTTGATAAGGAGTCAGTCGCGCAATCGCAAGCTGTTACGTTATAAAACAACTTTGCTTACGCGTTTGGAGCAAATCTTGGAGGTCTGGAGGCACGTATACATTGAACTTAGGAGCGAAGACTGGGGGCTTGGTTTCGTCCTCAAGACGTTGGTTATTGCGAAAGGAAACGCCACGCCACTTCTTAAACGATGGGCAGGTAGGATTGGGGGTTGCCATCGTCAAGGAAAGCAAAGTACTACCTTGCTGTTTGCGCTCAAAAGGCAAGCAAAGATAACAATGCAAGCTAGTTACAGGTGCATCGATCCCTGTACATTTGTCTACGCAGTTGTGCAAGGAGTTCACAATAATTCGAAGTTAGCTTCAAGGGGCTCGTCAACTTGCTTCTACGGAATTAACAGTTAATCACTTTCTAGTAGAAGTAACCGGTTCTTGCTCTACAAAATATCCTTCCGAAAAACAGTGATTCTCTCAGGACATCTGCTACGTACTACCGTTCGGTACAGCATCCAGTTACTAGGAGGTAGGTTCGTTCACTAAAGTAACCTTGTCTTTCATTCCTTGCGCCTGCAAATTCATGTGCTTGGTGCTGCAGTGGTCTTCGTTGCGCAGAGCCCTTGCCTGAGGTCCGAGCCATATATCCTGGATTCCAATGGAAGCTCATGAGACCAGTACTTCCCTTTTTCCTTCCGCAGCTGAACAGCCATCTTCTTTAAACACAGCGTCAGATACAAGCCCACCTGTACAGGCATCAATGCTCCTGGCAACAACATCAGGCAAAAACAACAAATGCACCAACTCTCCCTTGGCTACGAATAGTATCGATACCATCCGCCGCACAACAGCCGCCTAGCCAACGAACCGCATAACGGCGGAGCCTCCACAATGGAGCGGCAGTTGGTGCGCTCCTTGACATCCTGCTCGTCATGAATTTCACTTCTCCTCACCATATCCAGCCTGTCAACACACAAGTACCGCAGCTCTACACCCTAAGCAGCTAATAATCTTTTCACATCGTCACATAGCCAGCTTTTGCACTTTTCTGCTTCGCCTCCGTTTTTTTCTATTATCGTCATTCTAGCTGATGCGCATCATCCACCTGACCCCTCGTGTCAGTTGTCATGAAGCCCACGAAAGTGAACCCCACAAGCTATCTTCCGTTAGGTACGGCTCCCAGGGTGTCAGCGAGGAGTAGTCCGGCAAGAGCGGCGATGCCGGCACATCAGCTCTGCTGCCACCGCTGTCGCCTCGGCCCTGCCCTGGAGTCTGCTTCCCCTCACCCTCCGTCGCCGCCAAGAGCTGCAGCGGCAGCGCCGCCTTGTTGCCGCAACTCCAGCCAACACGCACGAAGGTCTCCGGTCCAAAGCTCATCTTCCACGCGACATTTCCAGCAGAACCCCCTTCCGCCGTTCTCCCCTTGTCGACGGACAGGGTAACAGCACCCGGCTGCACCAATGCCACAAGTTCTGCGGCATCGGACAGCCCCAAGGACTGAGGCCACTGGCAGGATAGGAAGACGCCGGCCATATCCGTACCCTTGTCGTACTGCACATACGGACACCATTTGAGGCCACCAGCTACGACGCAGTTGCTGCCATCCACGAAGGTCCCGTCGATGGTAACAGACTGTGCTGCTGCATCCGTGGATAGTGCAGTCTGCAGGCTTTTCCGGGTGATGTACCAATCAAACGACCGTAGTGACTGCATTGACGACCGAGGCCGTACAGCCGCCGTATACCAGGCTGACCCGCAGTCGTACATTCCAGCAGCAGCTGCCGCCATTTGCGCCCGCAGCAACGGCGGTGCATGTGCATAGTCGCAGAGGAAGCGGTGTTCCCCTGGGGTAATGGGGAACCAGGACAGGCTTGGCAGCACGACATGAAGGAAGGTGCTGGGAAGGTGGCTCAGCCGCACGAGCTTGCATAGGCAGCTGCATGCTTCGCTGGTTTTATCCGTCTTTAATGACCCAGACGCCTGCAACCAGCACGCCACCAGCAGCAGCACACTAGATTCATCGTCGGTGGAGAAAGTGTCGCTCTGTAGCAGTGCTTCCATCGCCCCGAGCGGCAGCCCCTCCACCTGCTTCCGCACGTCTAAGTCGCTGAGGGCCCAGGCAGCGTCCTGGAACGCCCATGCCAGCAGCTCCCCCAGGGTCGGGCCGCCCTCCACTAGCGGGCCATGCTTGCTGCACTCGCTTTTGCCAGCGCCGTCGCTGCACTTGCTTTTACCAGCGGCGTCGCTGCACTTGCTTTTACCAGCGGCGTCGCTGCACTTGCTTTTACCAGCGGCGTCGCTGCTGCTGCTTTTGCCACCGCCGCCGCTGCTGCTGCTTTTGCCAGCGCCGCTGCTGCTGCTACTGCTGCTGCTGCTGTGCTTCACCAGCTGCTCACGGCATACGTGAAGAAGCTTGCCCACTTCGCCCTGGTCCTCGTCCAGCAGGCTGCGGCTCATGTACAAGTTTATAACACCGCTTAAAGCAGCGGCACGTCCCGCGGCCCTTGTCGTGGTTGTCGAACTTTCTGTTCCGAGGGGCCGTTCGGGGGTTCCCCCCACAAGGGACTTTAGTGCCGTGTCGCAAGCCTCAACGCAGCCCTCGACTTGCAGATAGGCCGCGAGCTGCCGCACACGTAGCAGCGCATCCACCGTGTTGAGGCCCTCCAGCTTATCGGTGTACATGAAGCGAATGGTGGAAAGAGCGTAAGGCAGCGCGTCCTCCGAATCGAGAGGCACGCGGAGAACTGCCCCTGGCCCGTGGCGGTTCGAGGGTTCTTTGTCCTCTGTCCATCGGTCCACTTGCGCACTGAAGCGGGGTGAGGCTCCGCAAAGCACCAGCAGATGGGCTGGGAGCGGTTCGCCGATGGTCGTTGATGTAAGGTTTGTTGTCGGAAGGATAGTTCCTTGCACCTGATCGTTGTTGCCTTGCTGGTCATTTTTTGGTTCCGGCTCACCGCAAGCCGAGGACTTTATCCCGGCGGGCTTTTCCCTCGGAGTGTCGGAAGTTGGAACGTAAAAGATGATCGTGCAATCCGATCTTTCTTTCTTACCAAACAAATCCGCTAAAAAGTTTCGAAGCTTGCGCGACATTGGGTAAGGAGTGTATTATACCCTAGTAATAAGGAGGAGAAGGCCCTGTTATTATACGCTACTGGTTATTGCTTGAATTGGTTGGTTGGTACTTAAATGTTAGTGCTGTAAATGTTGGTGCTGAATTGTCGCTTCTTATGTTTCTGGCATCTGGCTTGATCTGCTCGAAATGTCCGTACGTTGCGTAAGGTGCCGCGCTTGTGCGTCAAAATGCCACGCCGCATATTAATCTAGGATGTCTAATATGCCGATAAGCATAGCATAGCAAGGTCTACATCCATGCGCTTATGATCGCGATCTATGTAACTATGCATCCTGCCACGACTACAAGTGACTTGGCAGTAACAACGAAAAACTGACTGTTTCTTAACCTACGTAGTTCCATCCAGAAGGCTTTGGTCTTAGAAGCCCTGTAGTTCAACCGCTGATCACAACAATCTGAGAGACGCAGCTTAATTGAATCTCCCCTAGGATGTCCATGTTTTCACAACTATGATTGACGTTACGAGAAGAGATCAACGTGCTTCTACCACATTTATGCACCTGTCATCCGCTGCAATGTGCATTCTGACTAATGCAAAAGGACAGTTGCCGGAATTATCAAGGAAAGGGTAGGGCTCCTCGAAGAACGGAATGCAAATGGTCTGTTAGATTTAATTATATCGGTACATACGTTTCACGGCAGCAGCCAATCCAGTCGAATGTTGCATGCTATGAAGCCGTGCTGAGGTTTTTAAATTTTGGCCTCGGAGGTGCCGTATATGTAAAAATATACGCCTGGCTGAGTAAGCTAAATAATAAATTGCTTATGCCTTTTCTACTAGATTTGCTTAGGGTAATGCTCTGCACATCCTGGCTATGATTGAACGTCCTCGGCCTACTGGGCCGTAACTAAACCCATTTGCACTATCTCGGGTATTACTGGTGATATTGCGACATATCCACCCGGCGGCCCAACCGCTACGTCTGCTTGCCGTTAGATGTGCGAGATGACCGTGCCATCTCAATCCTTGGGAAGGCCAGCGCCGAGTGATTGCCCGGCATTAACACGACTTCGGAGGGCGTTGGCGTGCTTTACCACAACCGATCCTTTTAGACGCGCAACACTTAGTCCCGGGTGCTGATGTTACCGAATTCCGCTCTGGGGAAATCCTTTGTTAAAGGACGGGGAAGGTATTCCTCTGAATGAGCAATTTCATGATCTTCGGAACGTGCGGGGTCTTGATACTGTAGGTACTGCCGTACGTTGTTTCAATGCCACGTCATTAATTTCTGGCATCTGGAACGACTGCTGGCTTACAGAGCCTCACTCAGGCTCAACACTTAGAATGAGCAAACCAGTTTCGTTTGGTCGTTGTACGGAGGATGGTACGTCTCACGCCTGGGCATCCCCTCCCAGCATCACGCGGGTCGGGGCCAGCAGCTTTAATTCGCATATCGCAACTCATCAATCGTCTATCCTCGCTTTGGACTATAACGGCGAGGGTGGCTTTGAACCACGATGGGAACCACGATATGCCGCCTCGGGGGGGGGCCTGGAAAAGGATTGTTCAAAGCTAGGGTTGGAGCTTCGGACAAGCGATGGTTTTAAACTCTCTCAACCCGATCGCCGTTTGTTGCATAGGGTGGGTCTTCAGGCCCATACGGCCCCGCCTGCTGTCGCCCCAAACCGCAATGGTTACGTGGTCATGTCTGACTTTGGGTCCGTTTAGCGACCCTCCACCTGGTTTTGCAACTTCGGTGCTGTACGTAAGTGTTAAACACAGCAAAGCGCCGGACCCGCCCGGGTCCTAATACTGCTGACACCATTTTCTGGTATTGTATGAGTGTGGGTCTCTTTCCGACAGTAATGCCGGTAGCTTTGCAGCGAGGTCGGCGTGCACGTCACCGGGGCACCAATTGCCCTTAACTCGGTTCCATATCAAATCGGACTTGAGACACCAGTGCTGGAAAGGGACCGGAGTGGCGGAGTCTCCACAGGGGGCGGCGTTTGCGCAAGCTTTTCCATTTCGTTGGGTAGGGGCGTTGTCCAGGCTATTGTAGAACATCCACACGTATATACCGAGTGTCTTGCTTGCGCGAGCTAGGTGAGTACGGCGCGTACTTCTGACAGCGGGCCGGTACACCAGTGGTGCCGCAGGGGAATGTACGTGGGAAGCGCCGCTTCGCCCATTTCGCTATTTAAAAGTCCTAAAACAGACTATTAGTACTCGTTGCCCCTGTATATGTATTCGCTCTCGGACGCTCTCGTCGTAGTCTATTCCTCGAAGGTTCCAGGTTCATGCAGATAGCTAGGGACAGCCGACGAATTGCATTAGAAGACCACACCAAACTGCATCTCGCTCATCAATCATCTTGCCTTTACTCTATCTAAATTCGATTCTCAATAGGTCACGGCGTTTTAGGCAACAGCCAGTGGGCGAGGCTCGGCCGGGCGGCGGACTGTGCTGCTGGTATCGCTGTCGCTGTTATTTATTGCTGTTGTAAACTGCTGCATGTGCAAGCGGCTAGCTCAGGCATCACCGCTACCGTCCTTACAAAACTTACTCTCACTTGCCTCAGCAGCAGCAGGGGCTCGTCCAGGAGAATTACGAGAGAACTTTAAAGTTAGAATTTCCGTCTATCGAGGCCAACAGCGGACTGGACGTACTGGTCCAGCTCTTGAAAGCCAGAGCGACGCTGATAAGAACAGCTGATGATGTACAGACGTACAGACGGACGGACGGATGGATGGAAATGAGAAATGCAAATCGTCGAATGTGTACCGTCTCAGTGTTGCCACCTGTTGCGATGCTACGCTGTGCTGCAGAGCCATCTGCTGCATCTGAGCTGTGCTGAGAGGTAATGTGTCCAACTTGCAACGTTACCTCTTGCAAAATCTGCACAAAGGGGAATGGAGGACATTCCGGCGCTGCACTACAGCAGCAGGGAGCCAGTAATGTCCACGTGTTGCCAAGTATCGACGCTGCAGGGCGTGTTGCACGTGGACCTCATAGTGCCGCATGCTGCTGGTGCTGCTTCAGATACTCTCAAGTCATGTCACATCTGGGGCAATACGATGCCGGTCTGCACGATTTTGAGCTTCCATAGAACGTCATAGAACGCCGTCGTTGGCCTAATACACCGCCCACCTACAGTATCCCCTATGTACTATAACTGTATATTCCCAACCATGAAATGATAGCGACTGAACATTACAGCAACACGAAAAGGATATCGCCAAGGAGTCATTGATGAAGAAAAGGCCAGATAACGGGGGCCCATTGGCCCTTAGCTCGCTTTCGGCAGCAGGCAATGAGCGCCCCACATCACATAAGCCAACTTGTCTCAAAGCAGACCCAGCAAGGCAGACTGCACAAAAGAAACCACCCATTAATTCTTACAACCATTACCACCACCACGGCCACCCGCAACAAAACAGGACGATTCTCAAACGCTCATCACCATCCCGTCCCGAAAAGCAATATTGAACCGTGACAAGTACGCCCGTCCCGGCCACCCCACGGGCTGCTGCTTCTGAGTACCTACCGGCGGAGCGCTGTGACCCCAATGTGCGAGTGGATCGCAGCTTGGATTGCGCAGATGCAGCAGGACAGTAACGAGGCGATACCGTCATCGCGGTACCGTTAAATTATCGCCTTGCCATCGCCAACTGACGCAATCCCCAAGAACCTACCGATCCCCCATGGCGCTGCTTTCCTAGGAGTCCTGTCCCGCAGCACATATGGCGAACACTCGCAGTGTCTTGAAACTTCCGGAGCGGCGGATCCCCCTGCTCGAGCTGGGATGCTGATATCAGAGGGGTACGTACCCTCATCGCCGCCCACGTTTTGGCGGCGTGCACGTGCACAATCTCTGGGAGCTGTGGGGTCATGTTATCCTTGTTTGCCTTGCTCACCACACCATTGCTGCTCAAGACACTGCCGTCCCGTACATGTGAGAAGACGGACAGAGAGAAACCGTGTGCCAAGGTAACCGGAGGAACAGACAGATGGGCGTCGAAGCCAATCCCATGCAGAGCATATAATACCCAGGCCCCTCGCAGCCCCTCCCCAGCTGTGCACCCCACCCCACCCCACCCCATCGCCGTCGCCAACGCTCTGTGGGAAGCCAGCTCTGTGGGAAGCCAGCTGTGCCCCCGACACACCCCACACACCCAAAGAACGCAGAGCATTCTCCGGTTCACCACCTGGGCCAGCCTTGCCCCCCAGCGACATGCACGCCGTCGGGATCCAGGTCATCGCGATGTATCTACCGTTGTATATATCGTATGCGAATTAAGAGGACGCACGTCAACAAATCCGGGGAGCCCAAAAGCCAGCGAGGGAAAAAATGTCGAAGCAAGCAAGAAGGTTCGAGGATTCGCCTTTCCAAGTTTTCGCCTGCAGTGCATCCGGACGCGTGCTGCGGCCCACTTTGTCCAAGGAAAAGCTATACAGCGGACGCAGGGTAGTGCATCGGATAGTACGCACTTCCCACACTTTCCCCCAGGGGACCCCTTTTGTTCGTTCATCCGTCAGGCCCTTTAAAAACCTGGTGTGGTGCCGCACACCGTGTCCGACTCCATCGGGGTCGCACCGCGCCGTGCACCACACCAGCCGGCAGCACAGCACATGCACAATATTCTTCCTTCTGAACGCACGAAGGATGATGCGTTCTTCCTTTTCTCGATGTGCTTCCGGATGGGAATTCTCTCCTGCGGTCCCTACCGCCAGCGCTACCAGCGGCGGCACCTGTCGCCTCAGGTACCGTTGGGGTGTGCCGTGTTCCAGTTCACAGATCCGACAATCGTCGGTTGTCATGTTCCAGTTCCAGAAAGTAGATAAAGCCGCCGCGGTAGAAGAGCGCTAGAAGAACACCTGCCCGGCGCTTTTTTTTCACCATCACCAATTTTTTATGCACGTGCACACGAGACCCAGACCCCTTTTTCTCTACACGCACGTTCACACACACACACACACACATACAGACAGACAGATTCCAAACCCAGGAGAGAAAAAGCAAAAAAGCTGCACTGTGCGTCAATAATTGCCCACCTACAAATTCTCAGACACACCCAATTTTCGCACCATCTGTATCTCTGTATATCGATCCTCTTCACGCACACCTAGAGAAAAAGATACTCTCTCACACACCCAGTATGCATATCCTGCCAAAACGCACATGCAGACTGCAGGTGCGCCCTGGCTCGCGGCCGCGGTTATCTGCACCATGCTGCACCTCTGCATCCATACCCGCACCATCTTAGCAGCACAGCGCCCACTACTCCTATCACTCCGCTCTAACATCTTCCTGGTTCCCACCTGGCACCCACCGGCAGAAGCGCTCCCACTTCGACGCACCGGCCGCCTACCCGCAGACGCCCTCGCCTCCCTTTCTCAATGTCGAGCTATGGAGGTTCAAGACCACAGGGCCCCATCATCATAAACATTATCATCAACATCATTATCATCATCCTCAGCAGCAGCAGCAGCGGCGGCAAGGAATCTGGCCATGAAGCTGTACCGGAGTGCCCCCACCACGCGGACTGTTGCAGGGACACCCGCGCCCCACTAAAACACCTGCCCTGTCCAATGTAACCACCCACCTCTCGCTAGCTCGTCCTTATCTTATTCCCACAGCCGACCCCACCATCACCTCTCCGCCTTTCTCCGCCTTCTCGTCTCATCGCCACGTCTGCCAGCTAGCCTTATTAATACCCTGACCATGATGGTGGCAATTATCGGCCGCGGTGGCCCCCAGCGCAGCAGTCCCGGTAACGGTGGCCCCCGGCGCAGCAGTCCCGGTAACGGTGGCCCCCAGCGCGGCCTGTCTTCTCCACTGGCGTGGCACAGCGGCCAGTTCTTACCTGAACGGCGCCGGCAGCGCCGGCGACGGCGGTACGTACGCCAACGATCTGCCGTACATATCCAGCTCCTCCGGTGTTGGCTCCGGAACTTCCGCTCCCGCCGCGGCACGACCACGAATCACCATAGGTGCCGCTGCACTGGGCACCCCCATGCCACCACCCGCCGCCGCCGCCGCCGCCGCCGCTGCAGCCATGGCTTGCGTTGCCGGCACAAGCGTAGGAGCCCCGACCTGACCGCTTCCGGACACACGTGGCTGGACGACGTGGCGCTTGTGCTCTACTTGCTTATAAGTGTACGACATGGCGACGACGACGAAGGATGCCGTACTGATAGCCATTAGGGCGGCCATGAAGACGAAGAAGAGGTCCAGGCGGCCGTTGTTGAGATCTCGAGGGAGCCACTGCCGACCGGCAATAGCGGGACTGCCCAACTGTGTACGACAAAAGGGTGGGCACGTGAGCATACGTGTAATGAAGCACCAGAACAGAACGTCAACCAACTCGTCATCTTTTTCTTCGGCACACTCCCAAACGAAGAGTGAATGAACACGACCGAGCTTCCCACCGCTCCGTTATGCAACCCCGCAACACCTTAAAACGCCTCAGGCTAAGCCTAGATGCCACTAGACTGCCGAGGCACCCAGTTGCCGTCACGGCCCACCAACCCATCTTGTGCCATCCCCTCCCCCTCCCCTCCCCCTCCCCTCCCCATTCATCCAAACCCACCTGTACGGCCCACACAATGATTCCGCTCAAATACGACCCGATGGCAGTGGAGGCCAGCTGCAGCGCCATGGAGCATGACCGCATCACGTCAGGCGCCTGGTCGTAAAAGAACTCCAGCTGCCCTATGGACGCGAGCACCTCCGACGCGCCCACGATGAAGTACTGGGGCGCCTGCCAAAAGATGGACAGGCTGCACGGGGAAGTGGCGGTCGGGGTGGCGCCATACAACGAGGAAGATGAGGTCGAAGACGAGCCCAGGTGGAGGGGGGGGTCCGCGCCATTCCTGCACATGTCCAGGCTCCTCAGCCGGTACCACTCCACAGCGGCCGCCACCAGCATGGACACCAGGGCCAGCACCATGCCCCAACCTGCCAGAAACAGAGAGCGGGAGGGAGCAGGGGGAGGGAGGCAGCAGGAAGGGGGGGATGTTGACATCGTATCGGGTATCGCAGCAAGGTACTATTGAGTTCGACAGAGGAAGGAAGGAAGGGAAGGAAGGAGATGCGAGAGGGCGGGAGAGAAAGGGGAAGGGGGAGGAGGAGTACGCTAGAAAACCAACTGCAAACAAACCAAACACCACCTTGCCTGCCTCTCAAGCCTGCACGAGCGCTTGTGAGCAGCGACAAGCACGAGAGAGCACTTTCCAAAACGTCGCGTTCGGAACAGGACCAGGACCGGAGGGCCGTAAAACAATGAACTTACCGATGCGTTGCAGCAGGGTGATCTTGCCGCGGCAGCGGGCTATGGCGGGCTCCTGCAAGTAGCACGTGTGTTTCATTGTGTCTGTGTCTGTGTGTGTGTGTGTGTGTGGCGAGGAAAAGAAAAGATAGTCAGGGGGGAGGCGGAGCCAGGTGCGTTTTATCTGACGTGTAAACCCAATCCTAGTGGGCCGTACATAACGCTGCCCACATAGCATTGCTCTATCCAGCCCCAGCCCCAGATTCAGGCCCTCCTCACCAGCAGCTTGTCGTACACCGGGATGAGCAAGATGATGGAGAGTGTGTTGAACAGCGACATGGAGGCGGAGGGCACGTGAAAGTGGGTCGAAGTGAAGGGAAGCACCACCTCACGGGCCATGAGGTTACCCTGCTGCACAAAGAAGCTGCCCATCTGCGTGTAGATGGTCCTGCGGGAGAGGAGGGGAGGTGTGTGTGTGGGGGGGGAGAATTGGGGGAAGACGAACCCCCACGTGACCAAACCCCCGCTTGTCAAATCCCTGGATTATAAACAGCGCCTGCTCCGTTAGCAGCAGCCACAATTCCTCTTACCAGTACAGCATGGTGGTGAAGAACACCGGCATGAGCCTGAGCACCATCTTGACCTCCTCCACCTGTTGCGGCGTGTAGTGCCCCGCCAGGCCGTCCAGGTGCATCACTGTGCCCTGGCTGGTCTGCCAGTCCGTGATGGCATCCTGTGCAGGAGGGGGGGTTGCAAAGGCCAGGGAGGTAGCGGTAAGCGGGTTGTAATAGGGGGTGTAATATAACAATAATAATAATAATAATAATAATAATAATAATAATAATAACAACAACAATAACACGTACGATGGATTTGATTCCGAAGGTCATGAGGGGGGAAAGTGCTGATGCGACCAGCTTTTGTGTCCTGCAGCTGCAGCACGACCCCAATACCCACCCCCACCCCCACCCCACCCACCTCCAGCCACCGGTGGCTCATAGAGGGGCTCATAGGCACCGACATGTTTCTCTGGAATCGCCGCCGCCCTCCCGCCCCTCCTTCCGAATCGGACACCCGCCCAGCAGCAGCCAAATCAAGGTAGCTAGGCAGCGGACTGGCAGACAGCCCGCCGCCTAGCATGGCATGGTGGTGAAGGTGGTGGTTAGAGTTCTTATAGTGGTTATGGCCGTTGGTGGGTGGGGCGCCGCTGATGCTGGTCGGCCGGTGGTCGGCGGGGCCCATGCCGCCCACTCCTCCGGACGAGTAGAGGTGGCCGCCGTGGAGGCTGCTGACGTCAGCGGCACGAGGCTCGACGCCCTTCTTCTTAATCCACCTGCGCGTTTGAGTATTTGGGCGCGTTTGAATTTTTTATGCAGCAAAGTTAAGTAAGCGGTAAGGTTAGAGAGGAGTAGGGAAAAGGTCAGAGAGGTAGTCTTAAAGACAAAACGGACCGAAATCGCAGCTATCACACAATCGCGGTGGAGGTTATATCATTCCCCCACGTTCCCAACCTCACCCTTACGCCCCTTATGAGTGTGGCTTCATTATAGGCTGATACGCCGTACGTCCTGCTACGTCATACGTCGTGCTACGCCGTACGACCTGATGCTCCTCCCCTACCTGTTATGTACGGCGGCGGCAACCACCCTCACCACCCTCTCCATGGGGGACTCGGTGGGCAGCACGTGGCGGTACACGTTGCGACCAGCCACGAACAGCAGCACCGCAGTGGCCATTGCAACGGCTAGCCACATGGAAAGGTACGACACGGAGGTACAGCAGGACGTGAACGACCGAAAAAGGGAAGGGAAGAGCGGGCGCAGTAGAGGTTTGTGAGGGGGGTGGGAGGAGGGCGAGAGGGCCACCCCCCTGGGCTTCAAAACTGAAAGCAACGGAAGCGAAGCGGAGGCGCTGTGGATTAAGGGATCCGGGTGCTAAGGGTGGTGTGCTCATTCCCATGGAAAACCCCGACCTTCCGAGGCCAACACAGGCCCGGCGACTCCGCAGGAATCTCTCCCTTTATCGAACACAGCGCCATGGGTACCTTTCTAGGGTACCCGTGCTTATCCCGCCAACCAGCGCCTGCACCTGGGCCTAGAAATGCATCCCCCCCTCCCTCGACTTGATCTGCGCGACCTGACAAAACGGCAGCGATGGCCCCGTAGGTCACTACCGCCCGCCACACCATACCACACAACGCAGCGCCATCTCCCCATCCCCTCCCCAACCATCCCCTCCCCAGCCCATATAAATCCCACGTACCCGGCAGCCCCAATGCCCGCCCAGGGTGTCAGGTTCGGACTCGCCTTTCCTTACACCGGTCCATCACCGCTGAAGACAAGAACAAGGACAACAAAGATAGCTACCATCACGCGATGGAAGGACCGACCCGCGGGTCGCACACGCCAACCTCGGCGATGTCCAAGACCTACCCGGCACTGAGAAGCCCAGCGTCCAGGACACCTGGTCCTGAATGAAGACAATGACCGTGCAGGCGATCAACGACCCCACGTTGATAGCCAAATAGAACCAGTTGAAGAAGGACTCCTTCTCCCGGCGGTCCTGGAGGGAAGGGGAGGGGAGAGGGGGGAGAGACGAATCATGAACGAGTGAAGCTGCTGCCAAGGGTCGACTGATACGCCAGAAGTATGTCAGACGTATGTCAGAAGTATGTAAGATCAGGCTAGCTAGTATCTTCACGCTGGGTCTTCGGTTCTTATGTAGACACCTTTTTCATCTCTTGTGGTTTCGGATCTCCTGTTCAGGTTCTCAATCGGCCGTACCGCACTCAACCAAGCAGATGTTCTAACCAGCCATACAGCCAACCTGGCAAACCGTGCCTGTCCCCCGTCTACTTCTAAATGCCCCTTCCCTCCCTCCCTTCCCCCTTCCCTCCTCCGTCCATATCACCCATCCCTGCAGCTCCGCCTCCCACCCTACGATGTTTCTGCCAAAGCTCATGCACACACATCCGCCTGCCTGCCAACCACGACTCGGGAACCAGCCATGATGCTCGCTCTTCCCCTCTCTCTTACGCACGCACACACCTCACCTATCCGGCACCGACCCCCAGACCTTCGTCCCAAAACCCCACCCCAAACCTTAGCCTCAATCCCAAGCTCTACCGACATTCCCCTTATCTGCTGGCCCCCCGGAAGCCTTTCCTTTCTTAGTAGTTTTGACAGCACATCTGTACATTAAATCCCGGGCGGGCGACCAAACAAGGCAAAATGTCGGCACAACCTGGGTTTAGGACTGAGCTCACCATGTAATCTGTCCCCTTCCCTCCTCCCCTCCCGGCAAGCCCCCTTCCCCCCCACACACACATACTTACCATTTTCAACACATGCCATACGCTGCACTACGGTTAGCCTGCAACAGCCCGACTCAATACCTCGCCTCCCTTCCTCTCTCCCGTCCCCATGTTTTGCAGGCAGCTCCGGCGTGCAAAGTGCTTTGGGCATCTTCAGTAACAGCTTTGTCTTTTGCAAAAATCCTCCCCCCTACCTACCTTACTGGTCAGTAAGTATTCCTGATGCAGCATTTATCTTGTTCTGGGCTATCCGTCTTTCTCTGGTATCTGCTTCATTCACCAGTGGTTCGTCTTACCCTCCCTTCCTCCTTCCCTCCCTCCCTCACTTGCCTGCGGGTCTGCTTCATTGAACTGGTCCGCTCCGAAGGCGGACACGTTCGGTTTGATGCCCCCCGTCCCCAGTGCGATGACGGACAACGAGGCGATGAGCGCACCCAGCTGCGGCCAGGTGGCCTCGTCGCCATCCGGAGGGGTCAGCCCCGGCAGCCAGGAGGTCAGCGCCAACATCACCATGCCCTGGGCCAGAGAAATCATGCGTGATGGACCAGGCGGTTGGAAAAATGATGGAGACGTGAAACGCATATCGTGTGTGTGGTGCGACATGGCATAAGTCACAGCAGCAGCAGCAGGAGAAGAAGAAGAGGAAAAGGAGGCTGCACAAGTGTCGGTCACTAGACACGTACTGCATAGCCATGCAGTGCAAGGGGGAAGAGGGGGAAGGGGATAAAGTGTGTAGACGAGTGGGGTATACCGTAGCGATCTCAAGTAGCGTACATCCATCTTTGGGGGAAGGGAAAATGCAGATGACCCAAATCGCAATCTGGCCTAATTCAGCTCCAGTCGTGTTCAGGCGGTCAGATGGTGAACGCGCAGGAACAGGGACATTCGGATCAATACCAGATCGGCAATATTGGACTTGCGGACGCCTACAGGTCGGGATACCCCACCCAGCCTCACCACCAAGTATACGGAGGAAAAGACGAGGATCGTCTTGTAACGACCCCATCTCGAATCGGCCAAGTATGCGCCAATAAGGGGGGTCAAGTAACACGTGCCCTCAAACACGCTAACCTGTAGTCAAACATGCCAAATGGGTCCGGTAAGGCATTACGATAAATGACGGGTTTAATGACAACGACTTAATCCGGGTCGCATTTCGTTGATGGAGTTCGCGTTCCCCCCGTATGTTATACACATTGAATAGGGATTTGGGCTCGGAGCTTAATATGGAGCGTTTGATGCCGGCAGCACCCGTACCGTGTATGCATGGCTTCCCAAGCTGGTCAAGGAGTGGCAAGCTTGACGTTTCGAAAGGGTTTCTGGAACGTGCCCCTCACCTGGATTGCTGCGTCTGCCGGGTCTCCACCCATCACCGTTGTGATGTACATGACGAGGTTTGTTGCCAGCCTGAAGACGGGCATATGAACCATCGCCGATCAAAGTTATCCAAGACATATTTAAGGACCACCCTTGGCAGCTTCTGTTACAAGCTGAAGTGGCTTAAGCGTGTCGTTTCAAGGCGGCGCGACAACCCTAACACCACGCCGGCAAACGAAAAGAAGCTACATACCCATAGTATGCCAAGCGCTCGCAAAACTCGTTGCCTGAAAGGGGATAAGTAAGGGGTCATGTGTTTTCGCGGACAATTAAGAACGCACGTGCCAACCCCTTTTCCTTAATGATGGACCCAAATGTACCTACCAAGGATAAAGGGACACACCGTTAACAAAGTAGACTTCTTTGTGCGTGGCTCCGGCTGTTCTAGCAAAGGGAGAGCTTCATCCTTTTGTGTCCGCCTCGGTGCCATCCTAAAACGTTGACTAGCCAAAAGACTGCTTTATATGTATTAGCTAGGTAAGGTCTCAAATATGAATGTCCCGGTTTAGTTACAAAGCATTGCGCTCGTCAGAGGGGCTTCAGAACTCCGTTGCATTTTCCCATGCATTGGCTTCGTCGGCGCTTAGCGCAGTCAGGCCAGCATAAGAAGCATTTAGATATTCCTTTGCCGAAATTCAACACACTCCCGACAGCTTGCGGGAAAGTCCGATTTGTACGGGTGTCGTACAATGACTCGTGATGTAAGGCAGGATGTAAGAGAGGCCGTCAATTGAGGCAGGAATTTTTCCAGGGAGCCAACGCTTTTGCCATCTCGGTGGGTTGGCATCGAGACCTCAGCGATGCAGATAACTTCTCTAAAAGGACGAGCGCTTTGCTAACCGAATGCGAAAATCGCAAAAATTTCAGCAAGTTTAACCATAATACCAACGCCAGCACCCTTCGTGTAGGTGGTGCAATGCGAATCAATGGTGCGGCCGACGGACCCTAATATTCGGTACATGGACACTAAAACGGCACGACCGACGTGGACGCCAGCACACCGTTATGTTAACACACCGTTATGTCACCAGACCCTCGAATCCAGTAGCAATCCTTCTTGATTATTGGGTTGTTCTGTCGATGTACAGGCCATTCTCCGTAACCCGGCCACCTGGCCTGCCAAAGCGCCACGCAGCCTAAAACCCCAACCTTACAAGATTCCAAGATATAGCAGCAAGGCCACCAATCACGACCGCCAACCCAGCCAACCCCCATGTGCCAAGACCACCCAGGAAAAAACAGAAACTACAGGTTCTGCGCGCCTCCGCCCCGCTGCAGCTAACCACAGCGCATACTGACATGCCACCAATAATGCCACCAAATGGGGGACATCATTTCAGGATTTGGGTTCTGTTCTGTGCTCCCTAGCGGTGCCTTTCACTTGCCATGCTTCAGGCAGTTCCCGCCCGAGAAGCAGACAAGCAGGAAGATGATCACCGCCAGCAAGATCACTGCAAAAGCAACCACGATCTTCATCTTGCAATTCTGCAGCCACATCCGACGCCGCAGCGTGCGGCCTTGCCGCTGGAAGCGGTCCGCCTGAGCGACAGGGTAGATACGGCGAGTAGATAGGCGGGGTGGGTTGGCGGCGGCACGCATGCCTCGTGAAGGACATGCAGGCTTCCTCCTCCATCCACGAAAGCAGTTGGTCATGTAACATACGCATGATACCCCGTTTGCATGTCGCCTCGTGTTCCTATTAGGTTCTTCAATTACTCAACTTGAAAAAATCAACGGTTTCCTGGATAATCACAGGTCCCACATTCCCCTGGTCCTGTGGAGCTAAGGAGCCAAACGACCTAGGGACCCGATTGTACCCCGACGCCCTGCCTACTGCAAGACAATTCTGACTTTCTTAAGAGTCGCATATCAAAATGTTTAAATTGCTTTTCCGTTACCAAGTTCAGTCACACCCTGAGGCTTTGCCTAATCAATGCCATCAACAATCCCCGAAGCCAAAAGCTGAGGTAATACCCTAAAACCCTAACATACCCTGCGCTAGCACCTGAGGAACACCCAATTTTCTGATGTTTCATGTAGCTGTTTGACCTGGCAGCACGGACGCTCTTACCTCATTCATGAGGTTCTCCGTCTTGTCCGTCAGCAGCTCGAGCTTCTCACCCCGCGCCAGGACCTTTTCAATGTTCTCCGTCATGATGCCCTTCACCTCATCCACCTGTGCATGGGGAAAGCAAACCATACGTGACGTGCAGCTGTTGCGTCCATCCAGAGCCCTGTCCAATATGGCTCGAGGTATAGGATACCATGTAATTCATCATTATATTCCATGTGCATTAGGACACGCGGTCGCCCAGGTCACAGTGGGATATGTTGGGCCTTATTGGGGTTTGGGGGTTGCACATGCCTAGAGCTGTCATGTATCATAATCAAAACATTGCTACGTCTATTATGCGCACAACACTTGCAACGACATGCCATGCCTACAGCGCCTGCTAGGTTGTGCTTTTTCTGCAGCGACTGTGAGGCATACATGGCGGCGGCATCACGAGGTTCGACATCACCTATGCTATGGTACACATCCCCCTACGCCATGGCCAGATTCCCCGCAATACCCGTTTGCTCCCACCCCACCTCGATCCGCATACCTTCTTTTGCACCGACGCGACCTTCGAGTACTCCTCCGGAAATTGCGTGGCATGTTCCATCATCTGCTTTAGTTGCTTGCTGCGGTGCACACAAGCGGCAAACCTGAGATCAGTATCCTGGCGGCATATTGCCAAATCCCCCTCCTTAAGACTCACCCGAAAGATGAGTTCAGCGCACCCTCCTTCGCTCCTTGTGCCTTGTCGGCGTACTTTATGTTAAACTCGCTGGCCATTTTGTCTAAGAAAGCTGATGGTATAGCCCGTCCATAGGCTTCATCCGCAACAACAAGGTAGGCTGCATGTAGTAGTAAGAGACTTGTTACGCGAACCAGGCCCGGGAATGCATCCATCAAAATCACCTAGCATACTATACACTTACTGAAGCCGCCTCGGTTGAGGAAATTGAACGTATGGCCGTCCACATTGAAAGTGAACTTGCCCTCGTTCTTGCCGGCCTTTTCCAAATAGTCTTTGGCCACCGCACCGAAGTTGCCCGAGAACGCTGCATACTCAGCGACTGTCACCGTGCCTTGTGACACACTGCTGTAGATTAGCGGCATTCTTGTTGCTTTATGACTGCGGCTGCCGTTACCGACAGCCCAGACAGATTTTTGTGCTTAATCAAGTCGTAAACGGCCTTGCTAGGTATGAAAGGCGCTGCAGTTTATATATGGCAGTCTGAATATGGCAGAGGTACCTTCAAGGGCTGCAGCACAAGCAAGGAAAAACAGGGAACAGAGCGGTCAACTCCTAGAAGGTGTCCCGACCTTCTGGTAAATCACAGCATGGTCATATTAACGATCAAACATAACAGCTCCATGGTGTTGCAGAGTACCTGCTTCGTTTCCTGTCCTTCCAGGCTTTGCCGTACGGAGCACCTGCAAGCATCCGAACCTCCATCCGCGTTTCTTAAACATAACAAACTTCAATACGAGATCCGTGATAGTTTCCAGCGCGGGGTCGTGATTACGGCGGCACCTTGCCTAGCATGGAGCCTCAGAATGTCGGAGAAGATACCCTAACCTGTAACCATATCGTACAAACAGAAGGCTCAACGCCGTAGCCTTATGCCTCCAACAATCTTGTATCCAATATGCACGTTATGTAAGAAACGGAAGACTTTGGTTCTTTCCTAAAAGGGAACCCCTTTAGGTGTAGTTGCATCCATGAACTGCTGCACGGACTGCTGCACGGAACTGCTGCACGGAACTGCTGCTGTGCGGCGGTGCAACAGTCGAGAAGGCGGCCAGGAACGCGCGGAGGCGTCGACAGCCCAAGAGCCAAGCATCCGGTTTTGCAGGTCACCCCCGACACACGGCACGCTGGAAAGCATCTCGGAAGGGAAAGGACACACTCGAGGCCATTCGAGAAAGGCTGCGTGCCGTAGGATTGGGCTTAGATACCTGCTCCTGGATACCACCGCAATTCTTATCTTGGGCCATAACCCCGGGACACACGACTCTATTTCATTCCATCAAATCCATGTGTTCCGAAATCGAGACAGTTGCGTGCCCCTCAAGTAATGACCCAATCTGTAGCTAGTGTCTTTCCATTCGCAACCTTTATATGTGTGTCACCCTAAAAATGCCTCACATCATTATCTGTGCGTGAAAGGGACTCGAAGGCACCCAGCCCCTTTCCCACGGGGGCACACTGTAGTAGCTAGCCGCTGAAAAGGCCTCTCGAGATGCTGGTGGTGGTCGCGCTACGCGCGTATTTGTAGAGCCCTACTGTGTACCAGCTACTACACACACTTTCGTCGTCCTCTCCTCCTTTCCCATGTCTGACCTCTCCCTTCCGTTCTCCCCATCCTTTCACCTCCCCCATCCGTTAAGCAAGTACATCTGCGAAACACGCCTCCTCCCCCTGCCCCGATGCAGCGAAGCCAGCCCCCATCCTCCGTGAGGCATGAAGCCGCCAAATGATGAGTCGGTGTATATCCCCTGCAGGGTATATCCCCCCGCCTTTGCACATCCCCCCTCGTCCTCCCCGTCTGCCTAACCACACAACAGAACACCACACAGCCGCACTTCCCACACACCTCCCTGACGGAATACTCCGATGCGAAAATGCATTAAAAAAAAGAAGAAACCGAGCGACATCGACATTAGGAACAAAACAAAAAACGCGCAGCATGTATGAAAAGGTTAACCTGAAGGAAAAACTAACTTCGGTCCTTCGTCCTTAATGCGGCAGCAGCAATAGCAGCTGCAGTAGCAATAGCAGCAGCAGCAGCAATAGCAGACGCGTTGCACATCTAAACACAGCAGCAGCAGCAGCAGCAGCAGCAGGAGCAGCAGCTGCAGCAACATAAGGACAGCCAGCTTCCGTACAAAACACTACTTGTGTTTCAATTCAACAGCCGAACAGCCGTACACGAACAGGAAACACCGACACCCAAATTCCAAGCACACAAGCAAGAGACGTGCGCTATACTTACAGTTTTCAGGCACACACACACAGTCATCACCACGGAGCATTGATGACTGCAAGATCGACACGCAATTTTATGTTGACCACACCGAGATCAACGAGCTCATTCGCGAGCAAAAGGATTGGACGCTAGGAGAGCTTCCACTCGGCAAGGAGTTCTTCGCCTTCACGTTCCCAACCTCACGGCTGCGTGGAGTGAGGAGTCATGACTCCCCAGAGGGCAGTCCTGTAAAGCTCGAGAAGGTGGCATCACACTAAGGCAGGGGAATATTCTTCCTGCTGAACCCGTTCTCCCACCTGCCCGGCTGGGGCGACTAACGCCATGCACGTGAGCGGCAACCTGGCCACCGGTGCTGTAAGGATTGGGAGGGCTATGCTGGAGAGGTATATTGCTGTACACGGATTTGCGCCTGTGAGATATACATGGGAATGTGCAGAGGTGAAGGTTGCGTGGGGTTATGTGGTCCGTCCTTCATCGGTGTTGACATTACGCGGCCCATGTTGTGCGGCTACTGGCATCTTAGACAGTCGAGTGGATGAAGCCGGAGTGATCTGAGGTGGATGTCAGCGGATAGTGATGACCGAGTCTCTCACTTTCCCGGTGCCTGTCTGTAGTACGCTACAATTCCCTTAGAATATTTTAACGATTATAACAGTTAATTTTGTTGACGATTAGACTGAAGTTCTGTACATGTCACGGAATATCTTGATATGACTTGGAGATACCGAATGTTCGTAGCTAACCTAACAGGCTGGGGCCCGGGGCCCCACCGACATTATCCTAGTACGGCAGGACCGTAGTAGAGATTCGTCCGGCAGGTAGGCCGGGATATAAGCTACCCGGGCGGGGTGCTCTGGCCAGGCACTTAAGTATCACGACTGGGGGCTATGCCCAGCCTGGGTCACCCAGGGTTCTTCACCCCGATTCGGGCCCGAACTTTTTCGAGATATTTCCGTTTTGCCCGAAAGGAAAATTGGTGCGCCCCGGAGCATTCCGAACGGATTTGGGGCCTTTTGGAGCATTTTTCGGGGACCCCACCGAAGCCTTTTGAAGGCATTTCCGGAGAAAACCAAACGATATTTAAGCATAAATCTGGATGTTTTCGGGCGCAGGTGGGGCCTGGAAACCGGGCTTGCAGTATAAGGCCCGCTTGGTCACCAGTCAAACAACAAGTACAAATGTGCATTGCGGCTGTTTCGCGGCTGTATCGCAGACATTTTTATACATCTAAGCATATGCACAGTTAAACATGCCCAAGTCAGCTGATGATGAGCGCCCAACCAAGGTGCCCCGCATCTCCCTCGGGATTCACGGCTTCTTTAAGGCATCTGGTAAGTTCCTATCATACAAATATTCCTCCCAGGCGCTATGTTCCAAAATAAAGTCAAACACCTGTTAATTCAGCCGTCCTAGCATATAACGATAGAATCCAGCTAAAATTTACCCCGAAAACCGCTTCAGACAGTTTCGGGGTACCCGAAAACACGGTCAGGTTGACAGGAAAACTTCCGGGGAGGGCCCCGAAAGGTTATCCAGAGGGTTTCGGACACGACCGAAATTTTTGGTTGGGTACCCTGGTGAAGAACCCTGCCTGGGTGCTATGACCAGGCACTTAAGTATCACAACTACTTGGTGTTCGGAGTTCAAGACTCCGCTGCCGCCGTCTCAGAATATTTCGTACCAGTCTATGTACACTAGTGCTTGTTGCTGGGTTGGACTCCATCCCGCTTCAGCCAGGACACCATAAGCCCTGCACTTCCGTGAGACAGTCGCGCCACCAAGTGAGCGACTGCTACACTGTCTCAAGGTTGGGCTTCTTGCGTGCGGATCTGTGCATAATGAGCTCCATGCATGGGCAGATGCGGACTTGGCTGGACAATCCTGGTATGCAATATGGTTGGACCGGGGCCAGAGGTCCATATGGAGGATAAGCTCAAAAATGATCTCATTGGGAGTAGTAGTCCCACGACGCTGGCGTTCTGCACACCACTATCGGCCTCTTAGGATGTCGTGGCCGTCAAACGATGTCCATTGTATAGTATGCATATGCAATGACTCTCAGCAAATATGTTGGGTTCTTTCTTTTCGCTGGCTTGCCCCACATGCTTTGTACGGCAGGTGTCTGGTCTTGTCGCTGTGGAGAGTCAAGGCAAAGCCACCAGGAGTGTGCTCTTCGGTCTGGATGTAAAGGTGGTCGCATCGGTATCCTCCAACGACACTCTGCCTGGGATGTCACAATCTCATCTGCATGTTTACCTATCTTCCTTTTGGGGTCTTAATGACTGTTCTCATTTATTGTTGTTGTTACAGAGTAGGAGGCTTCTGGGCCTATTGAATACAATTGCCTTGGATTGAACACCCTACAGCACCAGCCACCGTTACCACACTTTGCTACACCATCCGAACTGCAAGTCCACAGCGGTCGATCCTGCCTTCTAGGATCCCTCCTCATCCAATCACCCGAACATCCGCAGGGATAGAGGGTAGAGCAATCGCCACCAGTCTAGCGTGCGAATCTCGATCCATCAACTGCCGCCTCAACTCCACATCTCAGCAGCTAGCCATAATCTCACGCTCCCGATAATGTCGGGGGTTTCCGCAGGTATCAAACCCGGGACCTTAAACCGCATAGTGCAGTTGTGTCTCCAGACCAGCCTTTCTCATTTATATTTTCATGGGGCGTCTTCTTTGGGTAACCCAAAGGGTTGTCAGCATTTTTCAAAATTAAATCTTTCCCACACAGCCGCACTTCCCACACACCTCCCTGACGGAATACTCCGATGCGAAAATGCATTAAAAAAAGAAGAAACCGAGCGACATCGAGATTAGGAACAAAACAAAAAACGTGCAGCATGTATGAAAAGGTTAACCTGAAGGAAAACCTAACACGCAATGCCCCTGTGCCTCTCTCTCTCTACATAAAGCTGTGCTTTTCGTCCTTCGATCCTTCGTCCTTAATGCGGCAGCAGTAATAGTAGTAGCAGCAGCAATAGCAGACGCGTTGCACATCTAAACACAGGAGCAGCTGCAGCAACATAGCAACCACCACCTTCCGTACCTCCCACGCTTCCATTCAACAGCCGTACACGAGCACGAAACACCGACACCCATATTCCAAGCACACAAGCAAGAGACGTGCCCCATACTTGCAGTTTTCAGGCACACACACACACACACACTGCCAACACCACGGAGCATGAACACGTCCCATCAATGACAACATTTCCCGCAACAGCAGCAATAGCAGCAGCCCTAGCCTTAAGCAAAGGCGCGCTCATACAAACCTAGCCCCAAGCATATGCCTCAATCTCCTCAAACCCATGCGGAGGTAAGTTAAAGTAAAAAACACCTCCCTCTGCCTCCTCGTCAAGCTCGTCAAGCTCGTCAACCTCCTGCCTGACAGGTCGCCTCACACCCCCCCCCACGGGTGATCCGCCACTCAGAAGTCCCGGACCTGGTAGTCCGCCGCCTCCGCCACCAGGGGCAGTCGCGCTGTGAGGCCCACAAGGCAAGAGCCCTTCAGATATCGGGGGGCGGGGGGGCCATCAGGAAGGCGCGGGGTAAACAGGGGTGAGGAGGTAAGAAAACACATACACACACTTTCCAGGGTAAGGGTAAGGGTAAGGCTGAGTAAACAAAGGTAAAGCAACCCAGGTTGACCCCAGGTACACTTGTACGAAGACGAGCGTTTCTAATGAAAGGGGAGGAGGAAGGGGGTTGCTCAGTTCGTTTTCTGCGTCCAAGCGGTGTGTATGTATATATAAGAGCTATTTGAATCCACGCACTCGCCCCGAGGCTGGCGGGCAGATTGGAGTCGTACAAATACCCACCATGCCGTACGCCGAGCATACCGCAGTGAAGAGGAACAGGGTATTGTACGCCAGGATGTACGCTTGCAGTCCTAGCTCGTCACTGGGGGCCTTCCACACGTCGTTGAGGATGACCTGGGGGATACTGCGGGTAGGGGTGCATGTGTGGGTCGGGGGGGGGGGGGGAAAGAGACCCTTTTAACAGGGGAACAGGGCACTTGCAAGGAAACAAGAAATCAAACGCCACCGCTGCCATCTTTTTCTCTCTCTCTCTCTCTCTCTCTCTCTCTTTCTCTCTCTCTGTCTGTGTGTCTGTGTGTGTGTGTAGAACCATAAGGCCTAGGTTAGAAATTTAGGGAGAGGAGGCTCGGGAGGCTATCCTAACCCAATAAATCAAAATATGACAATATTGCCACAAAGAAGGTTTTTATATTAGTTCACGTTCAAAACTTATAATACCAGGGGAAACGCTCCCATTGGCCATCAAGGAGTTCCATTTTTTGTACGACGTATGTGTACGACGTATGTGTATGACGTCCCCGGGGACATCAGTGAATCCCGGCAGGTGTGACTCAGCTTCAATTGGGTTTGGATGCCGTACTGGGTGCCACCTCCCCCTCGCCAAGTCGCCATCAATCAATCCTATGGCCCCATGTTTCCATCCACCACCACAAATAACAACACAGAGCTTATTTTACCCCACAACTAACAACTAACAACGAAACGGTACTTGCCCTGACCCTCCCACCCACCCACCCAGCACACCATACACACCCACTCACCCCCCCCCGCCCGCCCTCCCCCCAAACCGACCCGGGACAGGGACCCAGCCCTCCTCGTGCATACCCGGAAATCGGTGTTTTTAAAAGTGTTTACTAGGTAGTGACCAAGTGGTTACTGGAAAACCATTCCCTTCCAGAAGGTGGTCGGTCACTAGGAAATATGTTTCTTAGAGTCACCTGCCAGTATTATAAATAACCAGGTGGTCGCCCGGTAGTAGTGACCATCTAAGAAATTTTTTGACGCTTGGATGGGAGCAGTGATGCTTCACTGAGCTCGGCTCGGGAACACGTTGCCGTACATAAGAGTCAAAGTTGGATCTTCGGATGCAAGGTTCTAGTGGGCTCCTGTTCAGCATACTCGCTGGGGAAAAACATTTGTGAGGTGGTTGCCAAGAAAGGAAAACCCCCACAGTAACCACTTGGTCACTAAAAATTACCATGGTGAAAAAAAATTTAAAAACACTGCCAGAAATCCTCAACACCTCATGTCGTACCCCGCCCCTCCTCGAATCACCCCTAAGATCTAAAACACCCCCTCCCCCCCGTTACCGCCTCAACAGTCCTGCAATGAGACAATGCACCCCCTTCCCTCTCCCCGAGACGGGCCTGGCCCGCCCCCTCCCTTTGGAACCCCCCTTCCAGTCCCATCGCTCCCCCTGTCCCCCATCGCTGCGTGTGAGGGCCCTACACTCACATGAGCAGGACGTCCAGCAGCACCGCCTGCATGGCGTGATACCGTACGAAGCGAGGCAAGGAGGTGTTGTTGACGATGCCGTTGTAGATGGCCAAAAATACCAGGAACCTGTAGGACATGGCGGCCGGGGGCGCAGGACGGGGGCGAGGGCGGGGGGGGGGGGATTGCAGATTTGGAGACATATCTTTTATAAAGGAAGGAAGATAAACTACTTTCGGCGGGGGGGGGGGAGGAAATGCGTGCTGCGGCCTCCGCTGCGGCCTCCTTGCGCCTCCTTGGTTGTTTCGTGGCACACCGCCAGCTAAAGAAAGTTTATGTGTGGATACCGACAGACATAAGAGCTGCGCTTGCGGTAGTAGGGTTAAGAGGGGATGTAGCAGCGGTAGCAGATGCCTTGGTGGCGGGGGGGTCGGCTCTTTGGTGAGGTGTTTTGTTTCAAGAAATGTTTGGAAGGGGTTCTTCTTCCGGGGTGGGGATGGAGGTTGCACGGAACCCCGCGTGTGTTGTGATGGGTCTCCAAGGAGTGGTGCCCCCGCTATCCCCCGGCGCGCTGTATAGCAGTACAGGTTGCCGTACATGCGGTGGAAGGTGCTGGAATGACAGACGGCCTAAACAGGTCCTTTGTTCAGGACGCGTTTTTTAATTCATGCGAACGGGATTTTCCCGGCAGCAGCGGATCACTTACGGAGCAAAGGGGAAGGCATGATAGATGTACATCAACGGCGCCACCGGTGCGAAGGCGCGAGCCACGAAGGGGTATTGAATCATGATGAACTTCGCTGCAGATGGTCAGGGAAATCCCATGAAAGGGTTGAGCGCGGCGCGTGGGAGGCTTGCGACGGATGCACCGTTGGCATCTTCACGATCATCAAATAATGTCGCATGACATAAGTCAATCTAAAAGATGTCAGTGGTCCGTTTATCCAAATGCAAAGATGAAAAATGCAGGGACATGAGTCCCTGCATGCAGCGCACACGTTTTACAAGTTGTGTGGTAGGAGGACCTTACCATAAGGAAGACCGTCAAGCAGAGGAAGGAGGAATGGGAGGGCTGCAATTATCCTATCGCCAAAATCGTCCCCATTTTTATTATCGAATAGCGACCGTGCGACGACGACGGGGCGTGTAGATGTGCTTTCTGCAGGTGCCGCTGTATCAAGACTGGGAGCGGCACGTCTTCCTAGAACTTGTTGCTTGACATGAATTCGACAAGGGCCTAGGCCTACACCCCAGGTAGCGCGGTGCAAACCACTTGCGCTGCAAGACAGGGTTGATGGCTGGAGAGCCGCCATGGAATTAAGCTAGAATGCTCCTGGCCTCGAGCTGCTACGACAAAGCAAGGTTTTACACAAGACGTTATGGGAAGATGCTCGGGAACGTCTTCATCACGTACAATTGTCGTACTGACTACCCGAATAGTGACGCCAGGACACCATGGGCATACGTGGGACCTATGATGTCTATGTCAGAACGGAAAACAGGCTTCAAGTGACCCAGCGCACTGGATAGGCTTTCTTTTCTCGCCTCCACAACTCGTTTGTTAGGATTTTTAAGGTTAAGTTGGACATAAAGAAAATTCTGATTGTCATCATAATACTGCTATCTTGCAACGATGTAAGCTGCTCAGCTAGGACGGGCCATGCCAATTAACGACGGTCACAAAAGGGCTTTGTAAGACCGTTTCCTTGTAAAATGGGACGGTTCTCACTACGGCGAGCGCATGAGGATCAGACAACGGATGAGTAAGTTTACGAGACACGTCCAACCCGACGAGCTGCATGGAATTCCGCCATCATAACGCCGTGAAAACTGGCATGTCCTCCTAGACCAGACATTACGTGAAAATGTAATACAACCGCTTGAAATCTTAAGCGTACCTGTAGTGAAGCCAGCATCGAGGGTATTACACATTCCTTGGCTTGGCTGCATCTATCGGCTAAGAACCCAACCGTAACCTGCCCTTCCTCAGGGAAATCGAGTACTACCAACCTGAAACCGGCCAAACCCTGCAGCGCTCCAGGTAGGCCCCAGGCAGCAACTGCGGTACCCGCTTCTTCAGGTGTACGGTGCTCAGGTGTACGGTCCAATGCGGTCCCTAGCCCTCGTTATACACATTGGGTGATTTATACCTCGATAGCTACCATGACCACCTCTGCCATCACCGGTTCCTTCCTGCAGCCTCCGAAACCAAGGCGAATCGGAGAGTGATGCAGAGGGGCCACATCACGGCGGCGCGGGGGGAGCGGGAGGAGGAGGGGGAGCTGGCGGCAGATCTGTGGCAGATAGGCTGCGGCGAACCAGCGTGGACTTCGGAAGGTGACATACACATATACAGACAGACAGACAGGCAGGCAGCCACATGTGCAAAGCATTTATACATACACCTACATATATACATACATACATATATCCTGCCGTGGCTCGGTTGTTAAAAAAACATACACACCAAGAAACAGGCTTTCCGTGTGGTTGCTGTTCTTCTTCTTTCCCTCGCAAATTGGAGGGACTCCCGGGATTGGATTGGTCCCCGGGAGGGGCTGCTGCAAGGAACTACATTTGTACAGACTTACATACTTACTTCTCCATCATGCACCTTCCTGCAGCCTTCCTTTGACATCATGCATGTGTGGATGCCCTAGACAGCAGCGCCTCTCTCCCGGGGACTGAATAAACCCAGTACTAGTGTACGACCGAATCTCCGCACGTGCTTGCCACCAGTGAAACCAACGACCACAACCACCTTCCCGTACAACTGGCAGGCGCATAGCGGGTAAGCTCCGTACCAACCGCCAGTCGCTCAGTCGGGCCAGCTCAGGCCTCGAAGGCAGCGGACACGGAGGTACGGCAGGAGGAGGTACGGCAGGACAAAACCACCAGCTGGACCGGTCCTGGGAGGGCTCCGGGCACCACAGAGATCAGGACGGCTCCAGCCGCCGCCGCCAGCACCTGGCGCCGCCTCCGCCTCAGTCGGCTGTGCCGCCGCCGGCGGCGG